AAATAATACCGGCTGAACAAAATAGTTATTGTTTTTATCAAAACTTCACGAAACACTCTGTATATGGTCGAAGGAAAATATATTCACAAACACAAACAATGTTATTATTGCAATACAATTTTAACAATATCAATTAATATATTAAATTATTTTTGTTTTAATAATAAGATTATTTTTCGTGTGCAGTATTTTTTGGTATTTTGTACCCACTTAATAACTGTCATTTGAAGTCCAAAATAAGAACAGTATACTTACCCGTGGAAAGTTTAAAATATGATATATTGTATTCGCGTAACATGTTTTTTTTTAACGTGTATTTTTATAATCTTATCAATTCAAATATGACACGGTAAACACGCAAGTTACTGTGATGTATAATATGTAGGTATATATAACGAACCGCCATGCAGTTACTTATGTTAATTAAATTATGTTTGACGTTAATTATTTTCTAGTGTGACCACTGACTGGGTACATAAAATCATCTTAGCGTTGTATAAAATTATAGCTCGTAACATAATAAGTAAGTAGGTAGACGGAGTTTATCTCCATCAATCAAGATTAAATAAATTGTTTAAGCGTGCTTTTGATCGTTATAATAATATTATACACAATGCTTAACCACAATGAATAAGACATTGAAATTTAATTTATAAATTTACAAGCGATAAATTTCGCAATTTTTCACGCGTTTTTCATAAATATTTTCTTGAAATGCCTAAATTGTTTTTTTCTTTCAATTATACGACGTATAATAACGTAAATTATAGTCCGTATAGTAACGTCCGGTTTATATTCCATCTAGGATTATGTCGTGGAGAGGGATAGTTACAAATAACGTTTTTCTTTTCTTTTTTTGGGAGGGCATAAACCTAACAAAATTTTTTACCAGGTATGCCTAAGTATTTTTCCCCGATAAAAGAGTTACAAAACTTTTCGGGAACCTTCGTGATCCACCCCGAACTTCTATAATGAAACCACTATTACCTAAATGACCTGCACTTCCGAGTTTTAATATGGGTTGACATTTGAAAATTAAATGTAGGTAATGGTTTCAACTCCCAAAAACAATGGAATTATAATAACTGTATTTATTAGAGCTGCAACTCGTTTCATAAAATTTTCTAAAAAATAAGTCAATATACATTTCGGGATAATGAACGGCTTACGTTAAAATATGTTGAACACCCTGTATAATAACGTGTAATATTAGAAGACAATAAGGTATACCCTTTTTATACATTATATATATATATATATATATATATATAGTTGTTTTTTGTATACGTTTGTATAAGACAAACGAAAAGCGGTGTTCTATTTCCCTCGAAGCCAAAAATATCGAAGGGTCGCAAAAAAAGAACAAAAAACGTCTACGCAGATATTTGTACCAATTGGTTATATACCGTATTATAGGAGATACCTATACTGCAGAATGACTCCGAACCAGGTTATAAAGCAGTTGGGAGGACGCGAAACTCTAATACTAACAAAAAAAAAAAAAAAAAAAAAACAATAGATGGACTTATTCATTTATTTATTACTATTTTTCGTCTCGTCGCATAGTTCAATGTAATATTGGAATATTGAGTAAATCAATAAAAAAATAATATATTTATATATATCTCTTTCAAGATATTCTTTTTTCCATCAAATTTTACTAAAAATATTTACTTATTAATACAGGTATAATTACACGTATAAATAAAATAATTTAAATTCTTAGGGAAACGAAGAATGTATTGGTTTTTACTATGATGTATGTTTTTTTTTTATTACAAAACAATTTTTTTACCAGCAAGTTGAAGTAATTTGTTTACCTATAGACTATAAGTAACCTTATCCTTGTGTAGTTCTATTAATAATTGGGAAAAAAACGTCGGAAAAATGGAAATATTTACATAATACATAACGGTTTCTGTTATTTTTCATTTTCATTTTGTTTTTGTGTTATTAGTCCTTCCTATAGACGAACTACATAACGACGATAATCTAAAATATTTTGGCGATTTTTCAACTATTTGTAGCCATTTTAAAATTGTCAATTATATTTAGTTTTATGTTTGTATAAAATCGTTTTGGTCCGTCGAAAATTTAACACGAGATTCGTTGTATTAAGTTGTATTTAAAATGGTAAAATAAAAAAAGCCTAGCATAAAGTAATCTTACTTTTCGTAAGCATGTTTAAAGTTGAAACTTCGGTGAATATATCTTGATATTGCTGACTTCGCTCAGAATCGTTTTTCGTTTTTTCATACAAACCTTTTTCTAATAAATATGTAATTTGTATACATACAAGTTTATTAGACTATAGTCTATTAATATATGTATAGTATTATATCATGCAATACCGTCGTAAATAGCGCGGTTTAAAAACGACCGTTGACCACATTATTATATTGTTTTGTCTTAACGTCCGCCATTTTTAGCTTGGATTTTTGGCTGGTTGTCAAGAAGAAAAAAAAAGGCTCCCGAAAAAAAAAACGATATTGTATTTTGCACTCTCGTTATGTATAAGTCAACATAAATTCGTTTTTCGCTGCAAGTTCTTTATTTTGTTTTTGGACGCAGAGTTGTATCTAATTGTGTACCTATAAGTTTACCTATAACCTGTATAGTATGACACGTAATATTTAAAAGGCGCACTTGGACGCACTAAAACATCAAAACATCAAAATACGCACTAAAATGTACAATCTATTTAAATGTACCAATGTATTTATTTAAAATAATTAGATATTGATGACCAATTGATTAACAAAATAGAAAATGATTACGCTTTTTAATATTATCGATTGAAGTTGAACAAATTGTAGAATTATTATTATTATTTCTTTATAAATATAACGTCTAAAATAGCCATTGTAGTATAGCACGATAAATAATATTACGAAATAAAAACCTTAATGCGCATTGAATATACTCAAGTTATACCGAAAATACGCTTTTAAGGTCGTTAAATAGTTCGAAACATGCAAATCATATAATACGTGACGACAAAATTTTACTCGCGTTTACTCTATAAAGGTTACAAAAACAAATTTCCATCGTACTCTGCACGTTTTACCGTTAAAGGAAAAAGTATACGCGAATACATTAACATCAGCCTTTTAGTAATAATATACATATAATATGATTGATTGTCTAATCGGCGTACAAAAATGCGTGACTTTTAGTCGTGACGTTTCCCGCTGAAAAGTCTAGAAATCCATTAAATGTGTTTAGAAAGCGTCCAAGGAAAACGACATGCGAAATATGGAATTGCACAAGTGGTTCACCGGATGCGCAAAAACGTAGCGCGTCGTAAAAAAAGACGCGATACGAATCTTAGACGGAAAAGTGCCGAGTGAATAATTGTGTATGTGTGTATCATAATGCCCTAAACTCATAAAAAAAAAGGGGGAAGGCCAAAAGATGGACGCGCGTCGTTATTATTGGAATGGCGCCACGTATTCGATTTTTTGTATTACGCGTACACAAATTAAAAGACAGACATACTTCACACGTGGGTGGGCCACTGTTGTTGGTGAGAAGTCGGGAAGGTATAGTAACGAGGAGATTTAATGTATATTTGTATATACGCAACGATTAATTATTACTAACGAAAAAATGATTCTGAGCGGAGTTCGGTAAATAGTGTTGCTTTGTCAACAACATAAATATGTGATATTATGGTAAAATAATGACGTATTGTGCATTATCTTATATTTTCTGAAATAATATCGTACCTATTTTCCCGTTTTTTTTTTAAGTTTTTCTCGTTTATTGGGAAAACTCCTGAGAAAATTTAAAAAAAAATGACCGCTTTAAATTACCCTACCCAAGTCAGATTTACTTTTAGGAAAAAGTGCTATCATTGTAAATCGGAGCAAAATGGCTGGTGAAAAAGTTGTTTACAGGAAAAAAAAAATCAATCATATTCTAATAAAACCATCGCTCCACACATCGGAATCTAAAACGATCCGAAAACGTCGTCGGGTGCGAGAAATAAAAACCCGGACGCCGTACGTTTTTCGGATTTTTCCGCTCTTAAAATACCAACCGCCGTTCCGGATACAACGGCGCGTGTCCCGAAAAATATTATAACCGAACGGAAGATGTGCGTCCCGCGTACCGGTATAATATACGGACTTGTGTGCGCGCGTAATAATTTAATCGGACGGCGGCGGCGGCGGCGTGCGCGCGCGGTGTACATAAGAAAGGAGCGGGTTTAATGTTTAGGGGTTGTTTTATGCGGAAAGTGGCGCCCTGGGCAATTTGTCGTTAATCCAAATGTACACGGGTATCGCACACACGCACGCATCCCGTGTACACGCACACGAGAGCGCCCGCGCCGCGCCGTACATACGCGCGCACACACCGGCGCGGCGCGCGCGTACATATCCGGGGCGCACTGTGACGCAATCAACCTATCAACGGGCGGGACGCGCGCACCCGTACGGGGCCGGGCCAGCTCTCCCACACACGCGCGATTACACACACGCACGTTGTCCGTCGGTCGCGCGCGTCGTGCTTATACTCGTTGCCGTCGCCACGCCGCATAGTACGAAACACGCGTCGGCTGCAGGGAACCGTAATCGCCGCGCGCGGTTCACGTCAAAGTCGGCCTCTAGCCGAGTTTCAATTGGCTTTCAATAATACCTAATAATAAATATTGTTATTATCGAGATTATTCGCTCGGCCCGTGTCCGTCGACATTTCGCGTTGCGTTTTGGCGGTGCTTTTTTTTTTTTTTCTTATTATTGTTGATACTATCAATTTTTGCGCCAATTTCTCCTCCCTCCCTCCCTCGCCAAAAAAAAAAAAAATCGCCGTTCATTCCTTACACTCCCAACCACCCCGCTCGCCGCCCGTCCGTTCGGCCGCACACGTCGTCGTTGCCGTCCGACGTCTTCTCTCGCACGGACGTGCGTGCGTGCACGCGCTTGACGGTCATGACTGCCGGTGTGTACGGCCGTCCCCGTCACCGCCGCCGCCGTCCGAACCGCAGCGGTCCGACCGTTTGACGCGACACGAACGTAAAGTACGCGCACCGTATCTTTTGCACGCCGCGCCGCCGGGACGTTCGCCACCATGATGGACCCTTTCTACTGGGATCACCACCACCAGCACCACCAATCCCAGTACCAGCAGCAGCACCAACACCACCAACAGCACCAGCAGCCGTTCCATTATCATCATCTGCACCAGCAGCAGCACCACCAACAGCCGCCCGCAGCGCCCCCGCCGCCCCCGCCGCCGCCACCGCCGCCGCCGCAGCCCCCGCCAAAATTAGAAGTCTCGGCCAACCGCCAAACCGACAACACCGACAACGCTTCAGACGATTCGTATTTGACGTCGTCGCACGTGAGTACAGCGAATCCGTGTACGCGCGTAGTATTGCACGAGTCTAGTAATTAATGTTGTGCCCCGCATAAAATTTTATATCCATTAAATACATATTGCGAGCTGTTATTCGAAATCATTACGGACACTCGAGAATAACAAATATTGTTATTTTCACGGTTATATTATGTCGTTACAAAAAATAGTTTGGAATCATTTTAAAAGTAACGGATTTCTGTTTCTGTCTGTATTCGTCTCTGCGTGTACAGGGGGACGACAATGACGAATTTTTTTTTTTTTTAAAGCGAATTCAATAAACCGTATTGTATTTATATATTCCCCCCCCCCTTTCCGAGTCAAATAGTTTTCGGTTATTACAACGATCTTTTATCTCGCCGATTGTATAGGTAACGTTTTTCAAGCGCGATAAAAATACGATTAATGATCATTTGATACGATACTATCGCGTCCTTTCAATAAAACACATTAACATTCCATGTTTCTCGAATATTGTTTAGTCTACGGGAACAATGCTATTATCAGCATCTCGGAAAATCGAAAATAATACGATAAAAATTTTGAAAACAAAACTATATTATCAGTTGTGATAATAATTATTATAGGTCGGTATATTATACTAAATATACGCGGTTCATATTGAAAAATCCCGCAATAAATATAATTCTAAAATAAAATCGAGGATGAAACGATTATTATTTTTCTCTTAGATAATCACGTTTAATAAATACTAAATGTATCTACATTAATGCAATACATTGCGTAATTATTATAATATACGTACTATAGTACCGCATTAACATGTTTGATAAAGACGTATACATCATATTAATATAGTTTAATTATAGACAGGTACAGTGGTGGAGGAATTTACGGAGGGAAGTTAGTAAGATCATTTGACGATTTTTCTAGTAGGTATTTATTTTGAATTTAATATTCTTTGCCCTTTTTAGTCGGAAAAATCAAAAATTTTGTTTAACGATTTCCATGGTTAACATATCAAACAAATCCCGAACGTATACTATATACCTTAATTATTGTATTTATGTATTATACATGGGGTACAATCAGGTACTCCAGAAGGCAAAACACCAATAGGAGGTCCGAGGTTAAGGTGAAAAAATGTGGAACGTGTCGAACCGAATACTCATTAGCGACTCTTAGCTGTAGACAACAAATGATAACATGACATTTGTTTCGAATTCGGTATCTCTCTCCTAGACGTCTCGAGAAATGTATCTAATAATAGAATAAGCCAGATACCGACCTTCGTTATGTATTTGAATAAAGTTAAGTTTAATGAGTATAGTTAATAGATACAATATTGATCCTTTTGTTAATAGTTTTTGTAAATTTAAAAGTAATGTGAATTTAGCTCTTAACTGTGAATAATAAGATAGACAATTTTTATTTTAATTGGACCTTGTGTCCGTATAAATTATATAAATAAATAAATAAATAAATAAATAAAGGTTCGTCAGCCGTTACTGATAATCAATTACTTCGTCGTCACGCTAATTTAATGCATTTAGACGTTCCGTCAACACAATGATGTCTGTAACAAGACTTGCTGTAGTTATGGAATATCAAATTTCGCATACATAAATATTATGTATAATATTATACATATGTACACAGTATAGTAATAGAAAAAACTTTAATACTGCTGCTATTGTGTTTTAAGTGGAAAATTGAGAAGGAAAAATATATTTAATTTATATCTACGTATGCAACGATAAATCATTGTTGTAAAGAAAACGATTGTTGGCAAGGTTCGGTTTTGTTTTGAAATGTCGCGATTTGTATAATTTGCATACAAATTCAAATCTAAACCGCGTGTAAAAAAAAAAAAAATCAATACATTACTCTCTACTATTTTTCGTTTGATATTAAGAATAACGCATTATGAACTTCTTGGTACATCATACCATTTTTGCCGGGACAGAAAATTATTTTTCATAAAAAAAAAACACCAAATAAAATGTTTTTAAAAACTCGAAAATTTCAAAAGGTTATGAATAACTCAAGAAATTAGCAAAAAGTTTTAAAAATTATACGTTGTCTAGAAAGTGATAATAATTTAGGTATTTCGATTAGGTATATACTACTAGGTACTTAATTTTATATCTCTACGAAAAAAGGGTCTTGTTGTTTTTCTATTGGGTTAATATTTTTTATAGAAATTGTAAGCCGTACAAATTTGAAATAAAAGAACCCTGGAGCCGTAAATTTATAAGTTTTCATTTTTCGTCTTTTCTTGATTTTTTTTAATTATTTCAAAAACTACCGAAACATTTAAGAAATAATTTTCTTACTTACTAATGAGATTAAAAATTCAACAATAAAGGTCTCTTGTCGTTTTCATATTGAAGCAAAACCTATACAAATTTAAAATAATGAAATCGGTAACGCCGTAAATATCTTTACCACTTTGCTCAACATTTTCTCTCGGATTTTTTCCAATTATTTTAAAAACTCAATTGAAAATCAAAAATTACTTCTTCAATGCTCCAACCAGAGAAAATTCCCTTTCAGAAAAAGTGCTACACTTGATATTTCGGAACAAGATTTCTGGTTGAAAAATTGTTCACAGACAGAAAAAAAAACACATACATTATATAGTGAGATAAAACCAATTGATTTCTAAAATAAGCGAACGTCATAGTGGAACAAACTACGCTCAGAATTTAGAACCTTTGAATTAAATGAAAAATAATAGGTATACCAACTATAGCTATATTGATTCACGCGATTATTCGTATTCTTTTAAATATAATAGTATCTATTTCCGTTTGATGTATTTCCGGAAAATAGGTAATTAAAAAATGAATTGATATAATATATATATATATATATGTGTGTATAAAAAAATGGTGTATAATTATACATAGATGTTTGATGGTTCTAAACTATAACTATTTTAATTTGTATAAAATCAATCATTTTTTTAAAAAAAAACACAATAAAATAATATGCGTACGATTTTAATTAATATAATATTTTCGCAGTTNAAATGAATTGATATAATATATATATATATATATGTGTATAAAAAAATGGTGTATAATTATACATAGATGTTTGATGGTTCTAAACTATAACTATTTTAATTTGTATAAAATCAATCATTTTTTTAAAAAAAAACACAATAAAATAATATGCGTACGATTTTAATTAATATAATATTTTCGCAGTTATTTAATTGATCGTTGATATTTGCCAAAAATACAATAAAAAAAGAAATAAATAATAATTAATGAATTCTAAATAACAATTTAAACTTAGAATAATTTCGTCATAATTGCCGAAAAACTAGATTTTTTTTTTCTGTTCAGCATGCCATCGGCGATTTCAACGCAATTTTTTTTTCATTTGTTTCAGCAAGTGACGAGTATGTTATAATAATAATTTAATTCGATCGGTGTAAAAACTACTAAAAGTGAAAATTTTTCCATTTTCCGGTCGTTTTTCGTTTTGTTTCCAATGACGACGCGTCCGCGGCGGTCAAAAGGCAACGATTTTATAATCACAAAGTGTTTTCGATCATTTTCAAAGGGGGCATTTAAATTCCGGTTCTAAATACACTGCAGGAATATAATAATATAATTTTGTATATTTATTATTAATTACCGTCGGAATCGCAGGTTCGTTCCGCGCATTCTGGGGGAGATGGGGGGATACAATTATTATTATTTTAACCATGATATTCGTATTATCCACTGTGGAAATGTATATTTACTTTTATTTTGATTTATTAGTATATTTGAATTATAAAAAAAAAAACCGAATAGCGGTCATCGTTATTGCTTTCCAATTTTTCACCCCACGCAAACACAATACTATATATACATTTATATATATAAATATATAATACTATATTATATAGCTATGATAATATTATGGGCGTGTTGACTTACGCGCCTAAACGTATTTTTTTTTATTGATAAAACAATTTCCTCCTGTACATTTTTTTTATTCACCGGTTTATAATATTATATAGTAATAATAAACAATTTTCGTGTTGGCGTTTCGATTGGAATCTATTTAATATAATATATTTCGTTAACGTAATATTATTGTATAAAGGTATACATATTATGATTTATACATTTCATCGAGTTCTACACAATATATATCATAATAATATGAGTGTGGTAACCGGTCGAACCAGCCTACCCGGGGCGTGTGTTTGACTTGGGGCGACAATTTTATCATTTTACAATTGCTCCTACATTCGTTTGTTATCAAAAAATTACAAAAACGTTACATATTGTTCCGCATAGATTTTTGGAGTATATATAGGTACTTGATAATAAAAGATTTTTCATAAAACAAAAACAACGTTATATTGCATCGCGTTGTCGATATTCGAGGTATAACGTGGGAATAATGTATACGGTTCAATTGTGTAACTAATCAATAAAACAAACTTTAACACTAAAAATAACGGTTATGTCGAAAATAGTTGTACTTTTACTTGTCTTAAAGAAATTTGCAGTATAATTTCATAATTACTCGGCAGTAGATTGTATTATAATAATATGGCAGAAATTAAACTTAAACGCGACGTATAGGAACAATTTAATTATAACTTATTACACGCTGGTATTATATAAATATAAGGCATTTTATGTTTTTTAGCGCACAGTTTATATTATAATAAGAACCACCGCGTAATTTATTTTTTAATTTATTATTTGTATACAAATTCCACAGTATAATAGCGAAGTAAATATAATTACTTATTTTAAATGTATAAAGTGTAGTGTTAAGTTGTTTACCGTTTTGTAAAAAAAATTGTTTTGGCAAAAACAACACTCTTTTCGTATATATTGTATGTATACGAGTATATAATTAAAAGTCTAAAGCCGCTATAGTAAAAGTACTATTTATATTATAAATGTATGCGAAACCGGCAACAAATCTAGTTTAGGCCCAACCTCGTTTTTCAATTTTTTTTTTTTTTAAATGTGTGTTTTTTTCTGTACTTTAAGAATTTAAAAAAAATGTTGGAAATTATGGGGGAAAACTTTATGAAGTTCAGGTTTTCTGTTTCG